ACACCCACTTGGAGGGATGACACAGTGCTGTTGCCAGCCCGTGAAAGTCACAAGCATTAGCTTCCATCCTGTGCTGGTACTCTGGGGCTGGCCCACAGGGAGGGAAAGAGGCTTCACAGACGGAAGAAAGGAGGTGACAGCTATGGGGTTCCCTCCAGCTGGGTACCTCTGGGCTGGCTTCTGTCAATACTCGCAGTGACTGCTTGAAGTCAGAGTTCTGTGGGAAGGGAACTCAGCCCACAGCTGCCATGGGTGCACAGCGTATGCCAAGAACTCACTGTAAATACACAGAGGATGAGAGTTGAGTCTTCGGTCACCAGTGCTAGATGGGAGGAAGGAGAGGCCCAGCAAGGCAGGTGGAGAAGAGATAAGTGTTCTCTGGAGCAAGGGACATGAATCAAACATCACGGGCTGTCACTGCTTCCCCCTGAGGATACGACTCTGCTGTGAACAAAGTATCACTCATTTCTTCTTTAATTCTTCTGTAGTCATGGCAACCACAGTCCTCTACCACTTGGTCCACTTAGCCCTGACCGAGCCCATTGGCCCTCTTCTATCTCCTTCGGTGTAAGCCACCTCACCCCATAGAGCCGTCCAGCTGCATCCATTGCTGTCTCTATCTCCAGCCTGGGACACCTCAGCATCTCTGTCACCCCTGGTAGTTGGCCCAGTGGCATTTCAGGTCCTTTGTGCAGTGTCAGGGGTTGAATGAGAGGTAACTGTCTCACCACTAAGGCAATCACACTGTTGTGCAGCAGGAGAAGCCATCACCTCCCAGATCCTGCCTCCCTCCCAGGCTTTTCACCACCACCACCACCCCTGACCTGGCCCATCCCGGCAACAGCCTAGAGTCAGGCTCTTCTGAGCTGCACAATGACTCCAGCACCTCCTTCGGTCCTGAGGCCAGTGTGAGATTAAGCCACTCCCTGCCTGCCCATTGTGTGGAGTCAATCCCAGACTTCCGGTGGGCAGGTGGGCTTCCCATCATTGCTCCAAGGTTTCTCCCACTGAAGTCACTCAATGTCACCGAGGCAACACCATGAGGCTCCTGCTGTTTCCTTTGTCCTGTTCTGTCCTGTTCAGTTCCCAAAACACAGTCCAGGTCCGGAGAAGTGCTCAACTGCCCAAAGGGCTTGGGCCTCACTTGGAAACTTTGTTTACAGTGAGGACACTTAAGGAAAGGCAGAGCCCTGAATCTGAAAATCCTCCGCTGGGTCCTAGATTTCCCCCACCCTGCCTTTGCTCCTTAGAGGGGTAGAAGTGGTTCTGACATCGAGGCATTCAGTGCTGTTAGACTAGAAGGGACCTTGGGTGTCACCAAGTGCTCTGCTCTTCACAGTGAGATCCCCGGGGCAGCAGCATCTGGTAGCATATTATAAACACAGCCTTAGGGGCTGGAGGGAATACTCAGCTGTTAAGAGTGCTCACTGTTCTCTCCCTCTCTCTCTGCCCCTCTTTCCTCTCTCCTGCTGTTCCTGTCCCTGGAAGCAAGTTTTCCCCTCCCCTTCCTCCTTTTTATGATCCCTTTCCCTAATAAAAAAAAACTCCTTTGCTTGAACCCTGTCACATGGCATCTTTCTCTCATGTGCTGCTTTTCTTAAATTACAACAATATCAGCTCCAGTGATCCAATACCCTCTTCCTGCCTTCAGATGCACTTGCATTCACAGGCACATGCCTGACACCACCCACCATACATGCATGTGTTCACACGCACATGCTCATATACACACATGCTCACACAAACACATGTACATTACACGCACAGGCACACACATACACTCACATACCCGCTACCACCCACCACACATATACATACATACATACATACAAAAACACGCACACAAGCGCACACACACACACTTTTTTAAAAAATTAAATCAATCTTTTCAAAAGAAATAGAGTTCTAGGTTCTTCTAGAATAAGAGGGGTGCATCAGTATGAGATCACAGATTCAAATGCATACTGAAGTTTGGGGATCAATCAAACCCCCTTTCACCCCTGAGCTACCTAAACACTTGTCAAGAGTAATCAAATACGCTCTCAGAACCCCCAGGTTCCTCACGGGAGGTTCCCCCTCTTCACTCACACCCCCAGGTTCCTCACTGGAGGTTCCCCCTCTTCACTCGCACGCCCAGGTTCCTCACGGAAGGTTCCCCTCTTCACTCACACCCCCAGGCTTCCACTTTCCATCTCTCACCTCCACTCTGCCCTCCGGATGCCGGTACCTGTGGGGACACCAGACCTTGAGCAGAAACCCACTTCCCCTTCGGCCTGGGAGCAGGCATCTATGTAATGTTTACTGAAAACAATTCAGTGCTTTAGGGCTCAGATAGGGCTTGCTCACTGAAATACCATGCCTTTCACACCCCCTACGGCTAGATGCCTCTTCCTGTTTCCCTGTGGTGTCTCCCCGATTCTGGGGCCGGAGATTAGACCACCAGCCAGGAGGAAAGAATGGTATGTAGATGAATGGCAGAAGTCCTTAAAAAAGGGAAGCTCCTTTTTTCTTAGGGAGACTTCTCCTGAGACTTCTCCTGAGACTTCTCCTGGGACTTCTCCTGAGAGCTCTCCTAAGCGGACTGGGGTCTCCTCCTAAGCTGACTTGGGAAGCATAAAGTTTTCTTAAAGCAACCGACCGGTCTCTGTGTCATCTATCCCGACCACCTCGCTACATTCTTGGATGCAGGCCGCACAGCAGGTGCGACAGGTACCTACAGCTAGTAACCTACAGCAGCATAGGCGGATTTCCTAGCTAGCTATTCAGAAGGTCGAGGTTTGATGGGGCTGTCCTTCTGTATATATGTTTCTCTTATTGGTTAATGAATAAAACACTGTTTGGCTAGTGGCCAGGCAGGAAGGATAGGTGGGGCTACCAAATCAGGAGAAAGTTGTGAGAGGAAGGTCAAGGGAGGCTGAGAGAGACAGAGACAGACAGAGACAGAGACAGAGACAGAGGGGGGGAGATGAGCCAGGTGTTCTCTGGTAAGATGAGACCATGTAGAAATACATAGATTAGTAGTTATGGGCTAATAAAACAGAGAGAGCTAGCCAGTAAGAAGCCCTAGATATTAGCCAACAGTTTTATAATTAATATTAGTCTTTGTGTGCTTACTTGGGGCTGAAGTGGCTGTAGGATCTGGTGGGACAAGAAACTCCAGTAACAGAGGGTGACTTCATTCCCTGCCCTATTTTCTTCTATTTTATTTTTTCTTTAGTTTTATACTCCTTCTTCTTGTCTTCCTACCTTCTTTCTTTTTTCTTTTCCTTTTTTCCCTTACTATATAGCTTGGGCTAGCCTAGGCTAGCCTCAAACTCATGACTCTAATCTTCCTGCTTCAGCCTCCCCGGTCTCCTTTGATTATCTGTTCTTGGTGTGTGTGTGTGCGCGTGCGTGCGTGCGTGCGTGCGTGCGTGTGTGTGTGTGTGTGTGTGTGTGTGTGTGTGTGTGTTGTCATCTGTGTGCATGTGCATATGTGGAGACCAGAGGTAAACATCAAATGTCTTCCTCCATCTCTCTCCATTAACTGAACCTGAAGATGCTGGAAAGACACTATCACTATTCCTTTGCCCCAAATTATCCATGAATCTTGCCTGGGCTGTTATCCAACCAAGCACTCCATGCTGGGACTTGCCATGGAGCTCACATGGGGCTCCTAGTTGCATCCTGCTCCATCTCTGTAGCTCTACAAAGAAAAAAACAGACTCGTAACTCTGCTCACCTTGAAAGCTCCTATGAGCCCTGGTGCATAAAGGGACAATGTGGAAATCTTTATTCCCTCCCCGGATCCAAGTGGTAAATCAACAGCACCCAGAGCAGCTCTTCCCACCATAAATCCGAGACATTTTTTAGATCCTCTTGACTGGAAACATCTTTGACTATCTCGTTTTATTTCTTAATGTTGTAAAGGCAGTAGGGTAACAAAAGCAGGGGTGTATAAAAGACCTTTACTAGGGAAACAGCAGGGTCTCTCTCCCTCTCCTTCTCCTTCTCCCTCTCCCTCTCCCTCTCCCTCCCTCCCTCCCTCCCTCCCTCCCTCCCTCCCTCTCTCTCTCTCTCTCTCTCTCTCTCTGTCTCTCTCTCTCTCTCTCTCCTCTTCTCTTATCTCCTGGCAGACAATGAATCTGGCCTGAAAGCTGACTCCTGTATGTCAGGAGTCTCAAGACTGGCTCTGTGTCCTTGCCCCAGGCCATGGTCATACTCAGAACATTGTGCCCAACCCACTCAGCCCTTCCTCCAAGACCTCTCAGCTCTCATCTGCCATTCCACCTCCTCTTCTCTGTTCCAGCCCCAAACAGCACTATGAGTATGATTATCCTGAAAACAAGCCGTTATCCACTGACTTTGTGAACTCTAGGTTTCCAAGACCCACAAACACCTTGCCCCTCCTCTGCCTCCATCCCTTCTCTGGCCAGACAGCCTGTCCACCCTCCATGAACTCCTCTTTCACACAGGCAGGACTGACCATCATGACAATAGCCCCTTTGTCCTAGATGGTACCAACTGCCCAGCCTCGCCACCACTTACTCCACTACTCCAGCCTCAGCTTCCAGAAACTTGTGGCCTGCTCTATCTTGGTACAACAGCAGTCCAGGATGTGGGAGTCTCACTAACTCCACTCTCCCAAGAGAGTGAAGAGCAGGGCAGCTACAGATACCCACCCACCTTCCAGGAAAGACCCCAGTACAGGGGCAGAGCTCCTGCCAGGACACAGTTCAGATGTCTGTTGATGGCCACAGAATCACCGCACTATGCCCTTTCTGCCCATCCTTCTGTCCCCAGTGCCTCCTCCTTCCAGCCTGTTCTCTGAAGTCCCCATCTGCAACCATGCTAGCACTGTTCATTTGTGTTCCACAAAGAAAACCCATGCTAGCACTGTTCATTTGTGTTCCACAAAGAAAACCGTACTGGCAACACACAGCTGTGCACTTGCTTGTGACTTATGTGCGCCATGCATGTTCACATGAATTGTGCTCACTGAATACTCGGAGGCTAAGACATCAGATTGCACAGTTTATTGAGGATGCAACAGGGAGGGCATTAAAGGATACAGGAGAAGCCATGAGGGTCCTCTTTTCTCTGGTTCTGGGTGCGGGGAAGTGAAGACAGAGTCCTTTACTGAGTGGTCCCACTCAAAATGAGACTGTGCCAGAGTTGGGTGGGCAGGCCACTCTGAGTTCATTGTCTGTTAGTTGCCCTCTTGGATTCCAAGCTACTCCTGTCATCGGCAGGAGCTGGGACAAAAGCTCAGCAGATGAGAAAGCCCAGGTTGAGACCCAAGAAGCCAGGTAAGGACAGAGGCAAAGGCTGGTGGAAGGGACAGGCTGGACATGGGCAGAGGCCAAAGCCAGCGAAGCTCTGCTGTCTATCAGAAGTGCATCCCACGTGGTAACTCAGAGCGACCCAGGCTCAGAAGACTGGAGGGAAAAGAGTGGAGGTTGGCTAAGGACAAATCCAGGGGCCCCGGTGTGGTACAAAGGAGTAGGAAGGGGACAGTAGGCTAGGACACAGGGGGTTCTGAGGGAGAGGAGCCACAGGAAGCCCTCTCTACCGGCTGCCTTTCTTGGAGGAGGTGCTCAGGCTGGAGCCCTTCGTTAGGGTGTCCTTGTAGTCACTGCCTCGGCTCCTGCTCTCCCCACCGCGGACGCTGCACACTCCAGAGATGCAGCTAGTGCTATTGGCCACGTAGCCACCGCTGACGGTGCTGGGCCGGAAGCCATAGCCTCCACTGCCACTGGTGCTGCTGATAATGGCTGCAAAGAGAGAGAGACAGAGAGCTGGACTCAAACCTACTCAGGCAGAGTTAGGGAGGGACTCTCCTTCCCCCAAGACAGACAGGGCTCTGAGAGGACCTGATCATAGGCATCCCCTCACCCTGGGGAGGATATCCCAAAGACACCTTCCCTACGTTTTTTGTTGTTGTTGTTATTGTTGTTTTGTTTGTTTTTTGAGACAGGGTTTCTCTGTATTGTTTTGGAGGCTGTCCTGGAACTCGCTCTGTAGACCAGGCTGGCCTCAAACTCACAGAGATCCACCTGCCTCTGCCTCCCGAGTGCTGGGATTAAAGGTGTGGGCTACCAACGCCCAGCCTTCCCTATGTTTTAAATCACTCAGTTTATACCCACTGTGCCTTAGTCTTGTCCCACTGGCTCTCAAGTCCATCTCCTTCAACCAGGTACCCATTCACCCACTTGTCTTGGGGACCCTCACTGCCCTTCCTATTGGTGGCTTTGCTAAATCTACCACCAACCTTTCTCCTGCTGATTCCCCACAGATGGCAATGCAATATCTGTGATTCCAGATCCAACCCTAACAGCTTGAAGTGTCCCTTCCCTTCTGGAGTACCTTAACATCCCCCACTCCCATCTAAATCCCCAGCCACAATCTTGACTATAACTTGCCAACCCAGCTTCAAAAAAGCCTGAGACAGACCGCCCCCCTCAGCATCATTTTCTTAGAACTTGCCCTTCTCCTAAGGCTGTCCCTTACTGCCATCCCCAGGAAGCAGGATGATAAAGATGAAAGAGTCCTGGGGTGACAGGAAGCTGGGAGAGCTGGCCTGGGTCTGCCCTCTGGGTTTTATCATCACAGCTTTTTCCCTTCTGATTCTTAAGGCCCTCATCTACACACACAGGGTGCGACCATGCAGAGCCTATGACTTAGCACCAGACCCACAAAATACTTACAGATGCTGACAGGGGATGGGTACTCTCCTGACATCCTGTTAAGGAGAGAATTAAAATTAGGAACTTCCCACAGCCTCTTCCAAGCTGCTGCCCCCACAAGCCTGAGGTGAGCTTCTGGACCCAATGGGCACCTGTGGAAACTGCAGAACTGCTTTAGCACAAGCAGAGCCTCAGAAGCTTCAGAAGCCACCCCTGAACCTTTGGGGGTAATCAGGAAACACATTGGACAGAATAATAGTGTATGAGGACTGTATGTCGGCTCCCAGTATTCTGCCATAGTGAGCCTTCTTTCTCCCTAGCACACTGGGAAGCTGGAGTGACTAGCCTAGCACATCTCCACCCAGCTCACAGCGTACCTGGGCGGGTAAGGAAGAGGGAACCAGGAAGCCTAATAGAGGAATGGGGTTCAGGAGAGAAAGGAAGCAGGACACTCTGGGGAGGTTGTAATGCAATTCTGATCATCAAAGCCAGGCTTCAAGCATGCTAAGCAAGCGCTCTACCAACTGAGCCTTGTTCCTAATTGCTATTAGCATTCCTATCATCACCATGGCGCCGTTGCTCCCCTACAGCTCACAGTGATGCTGCTGAGGCTTCTTCCCCAGGCACACTCTGCTCACCTGCACTCCTCGCTCTCCAGCAGCTTGCGGTAGGTGGCAATCTCCATGTCCAAGGCCAGCTTTAGGCTCATGAGCTCCTGGTATTCACGCAGCATCCGGGCCAGCTCCTCCTTGGCCTGGTGCAGGGCGCCTTCCAGCTCATCCAGCTTGGCCCGGGCATCCTTGAGGGCACTGTCCCCTCGTTGCTCGGCATCAGCGATGGCTGTCTCCAGATTAGAAGCCTAATCAAAGAAATCAAGAAGTTAGAAAACTAAAGGAGGCATGGGCACTGTCTGCAGCCAAACCCTCACATTCAGAAAGATCCAGTAGCATCCCAGAAGCACAACATGCTTCTGCTCTGACTGGAAGGTGCTGGAAAGTCCTCCTGATCTCATATACACCCCTGTTCCCAGATACATGGTGAGAGGAAAGCATGATCTGCCCTATGGAGACCACAGCCACTACAGTGCGCATACACTGATGGTCAGGCTGTGCAGTGAGTAAGTGGCTTTCTGTTCTTGAGTTGTTTAGGGTCTTAGAGGAGAGATATTACAAGACAATGTACTAGATGCAATGGCTGCTCCTGCCCAGACACATGGCCCACAGGCCGGGGTTACAGGAAGGAGGTTCTCCCAGAATGATGGTTACTTGCCCAGGTGTTGATTGTGTGCCCAGCACCATGCTCAGCACCACCTATTCCATGCCTCATCTCATTTGACCTGTGAATTACAGAGAGCTGACTGTGCCTATGACTGCTGAGCCGTTGTGTTAAGGCCATAAGAACATGGGACTATGTCTAGCAGCTATGTACTGAACAACCTCGCCACAGCTCTCGTCTGGTGCAGAGAGAGTGGGAATGTTGCTTCTCAAGGTCTTTGTGGGCATGAAATGTGGTAGACTAGGGGCACGGCCATCATGTCAGTCCATCTGCGTCTTCTGCTCCCACCTGCCAGCATGAGTCATTCCTACCTCCCTGGGGACTCCCTGAGCCACTGCCCCATCCCAGCCACATCAATGATATTTATGAAGCTACTGCTACGTGTAGGCACAGCTCAAGATGGCGGGGTGGGGGGCAGGCAACTGTCAAGAGGAACTGCTAAGAGCTGTGAACTGATCAGGAAAGCATGGACAGTGGGGAGCCCAGGCTGTAGGCAGGGGTGGCTTCCTGGGGGAGACGAGAATACCCAAGGAAAGGTGCTGGGAGTAGGAAAGAGGGTGCCTCATAGACGTCCGGTTGCTGGAGGCAGTGACCTCACTAGCATCTTCTCTCGTCATTAGGGACATCTGGGAAGCCAAGGCCCTCAACTACCTTACATGCCCTCCACCAGGCTCACTGCCCCTGGCCACGGGCCAAGGGCCCTCACCTGCTTCTTGGCGTTCTCGATCTCTGAGCGGAGTCTCTGGATGAGCCGGGTCAGCTCGGTGATTTCATTCCTGGTGTGTTTGAGGTCATCCCCGTGGCGGCCAGCTGCCAGCTGCAGCTCCTGGAACTGGAAAGCCCAAAGCACAGAGATGGGTACGTGTGGTAGTATGGAATCTGTGAGGTCCCTGCATCCCTGACTGAAGAGGGTCAGGGCTCCCGGGCATAAGGAACTCTGACCTGGGCACTGACTCTTATCTGAACGTAACTGGGTTGAGCCTTCACAACATGGTGCCATTCCACCTGCCACCCCAGTCTCAGCCTCTCACCTTGGTCTGGTACAGTGCCTCGGCCTCGGCCTTGCTCTTCAGGGCAATCTCCTCATACTGGGCACGGACCTCATCGATGATGCTGTCCAGGTCCAGGTTCCTGTTGTTGTCCATGGACAGGATGACGGACATGTCGCTGATGTGGGACTGGATCTGGGCCATCTCCTACAGGGACCATGGGTGGGAGAGTATATCAGCTTGATCACTGGCAAATTTTAGTGATGCCTCATAGGGCCTGGAACACGAGATTGTTACCTTAATGTGCAAAGAAAATACCTTACTGGTCCCTAGGTGGATTCTGCTGCCATGGAATAAGGTTTCAGGGATGGAGTGGGGGCTCTCAGGAGTAACATGTGAGTGGCCCCCCTTCACAGCTGGAGCCTCTGTGAGTCCTCCAGTCTCTAGACTAGAGTTTTAGCCACTCACCACCCTGAAGAATGGCATGCAAAGAGACTTACAGCTTCATAGAGACACTTGAAGAACTTGATGTCCTGGTCCATGGAGTCCACCTTGGCCTGCAACTCCACCTTGTTGGCATAAGCTGCATCCACATCCTGAAAGAAGATGCAGTGATCCACAGTCAACACAGGTGCCACCCAGAAAGTGGCATCCATCCCCAGCCCAGATGCCTGGCTGGAGGAAGGAGATATTATCTTCTCCTGTGTGGCTCATGAGGAAGGCAGTAGGGGCAGTTGAAGGCACGGCCCTCATCTCCCATCCTGAGAACCTGGTCCATGAGCAGGAATGAGGACCCCTGGAAAGGGTGTCCCAGACAGGCTGCTGTGAAAGTCACCTCTGTGACACCTGAGCCAAGTCCCATGGCTTCGGGGAGCCCCCAAGGAGTTCTTCCCATCACCCTCCCTTCATTCCTCGTGAATGTATCGTGGTCCTCCAGCCTTCTCATTGCTGTTTCTGCATCCACCCATTTGGGGACGGATGGCAAAGCGCATTGGTAGGCTCAGCCTCTCTGGCTAGACTCCGGCCTCGGACCTGCCTTCCCTCACCTTCTTTAGCAGCACAAATTCATTCTCTGCAGCCGTCCTTCGGTTGATCTCCTCCTCGTACCTGAGAGAAGACCAGGGACCATAGCTTACACCCTTCGCCAAGAGCCCTGATGCGTCCAGGGAAGACTCTGAGTATGGAAAAGAGTGCCAGCCGGGGGGGGTGGCACAGAAGACTAAAAGGCCAGTCAAGTAAGGAAGGCTTTCTGGAGGAAGGGGCATGGTGGCCAGTTTTGGAAGAAGATCCACCTTGGAAAATGGAGAGGAAGTGTATGGAGCAAATGAGCTTTGGGGAACCAAGGGAGATGCAGGAAGCAAGTTGCTTCATACCGGATGTGAGCAGTGCCCAAGTGTGAACAAAGTGTTCCCATGCACTTCTCAACATAAAAGCTCGTTTACTCAGCGCTGACCCTGAGCCAGAGCTGACGACTGCCCAAATGCTTGGACATTTGTCCCCAGTGTCAGTCCAAAGACTAGGGATCAGGGAGCATGTTCTGGGTTTTCAATGTGGTGACTCTACAAAACTTTGAAACCCAATTTTTTAAACCCTTCAGAGGGACAGGGCTGGCTCTCCTGTGACAGCCTGTCTCCTCACTCACTTCTTCTTGTAGTCCTCCACCACATCACGCACATTCCTCAGCTCGGAGTCCAGCCTCACTCTGTCGCCAGACAGTGTCTCCAGCTGCTTCCGCATGTTGCTGATGTAGCCTTCAAGGATGGGCTCCAGGTTGTTCTTGCAGTTGTTCAGGTCCAGCTGCTGCAGCAGCTCCCACTTGGTCTCCAGCACCTGGTTCTGCTGCTCCAAGAAGCGCACCTGGAACCCAAACCCACAGACACCTGTTCCCACTCCACAGAATTCATACATGTCACATGAGGCCCCTGTGCTCGGCGCTCTGGCAGTATCTTTTCCTCTGCCCCTCTACAGCTGTAGGAGGCAGGCAGCTCTGGTCAGAGGTGGGTTAGCCGTCATCAGTGGAAAAGAAACTGGAGCACAAAGAAATTTTGCTTCTTCCCAAGGTCCAGAAGTTTAGTCAAGGGCCGAGCTCAGAACTAAACCCAGAGAAGTGCCCCTTCACTGTGGACCTCCAGTTAACCAGAGCCCACGGTGCCTGAGCAGAATGTGTGAACACACCTGGCAACGGCAGCATGGGGCCAGACTGGGTGTGTCTATTTGGAAAGGCCACCCCCTCTGAAGATGAGGTCCGCTCCTCATGTGCAGTGAGGTTTGGGTCAAGAGCTTCTGAGTGTTTCAAATTCCCACATGGGGCCTCCACCCCATCTCTGTTCACAGACGCTGCCCACCCCCCAACAAATAAGCCTGCAGTTCTAGAAGGCCGCCGTCTGGAACAAGCATGAAACATGGAACTGGGTGGACAGACAGAGCCTGGTCCTCACCAGACCAGGGAATTTATCAGGGGTCATTAGCATATTTCACCCCCAGATGGTTACGGGTAGCACAAATTTTTAAAATTGTACTTCTTTTTATTTACATCAGTGAGCACGGGTACACTCAAGCAAGGCTGTGTTCACAGGATGGGGAATAGTGTGAAACTCTGCACTGAAACAAGCATGCCACTAGACACAGTGTTCCTCAGACCAAAGCTCCTGGAGAGCTAACCAGGCTTTGGGTCTCCTTCCCATTCCCCAAGACCACCCTCATCTTGCTTTTCTGTGTCTCTGAAATTACCCCTCTGTAGGTTCTGGCCCAGCCCACACAGGTGCAGGACACTCCCACCCCCAGACTAAAATCCTCAGAGCTCCTTGATTGCCTAGATGTGACTAGCCTCGAGGACAAGAAGCTACAGTGCTAGCATTGGCCCCTGAGTCCGAGCAGAGGGCGAGGCCTCCACAGGGGAAAACTAGCACTGTGGGGCAGGGGCTGCTATTGTGGCCACAAGGCCTGGGGCTGTGATGCTTGACTGTCATGGAACCAACATGACAATTCACCCTCGCAACTCTGCACCTAGACCTGCAGGTAGGAGACTGAGGGTGAACCCTCACCCGCCTCTCCTCCAAATGGCTGTAGGTGTGGCATTGGCCTCTGTGGCTTTGCTGACCCATAAGCCGGGAGAAGCTGTCTCTCATATACTGCAGCCAGAACCTGGCTGAGCTGGAGGATCTCTTGAGGTTCGTCTGCTTTCCAGTGCCCTTCCGCGGCAGCGCCGGCCACCACTGGGGTGGGGAGGGCTTAGTCTGAGCCAGGCATCGTGCCAAGATCTCTGCATGAACCTTCCTTTCTAAACTAGCACTAGGGGTAAGAGCATAATAACCCAGATGGGACAAGCAACGTCCCCCAAAGTCATGCACATGGTCATCATAGGCCAATTCTGACTCCAGAGCACCTCTACCCCTACTTTGCAAGAGTGCCCTCGACCACTGATACAAACATCCACTGTGGAGGCATCCTTTAGCCCCAAGTGCCTGGGGTGACCACACACCCATTCATAGTCCTGATGGACTAGTCAGGTGCCTGGGAGAAAGACTGACTTTCTGGTTGGCCCGAAGCTGATTCTCCGCCTCCTGGCATTCACTGTGTGCAGCCTGTGTGACCACAGGGTTTAGCAACAGTACCAAGCCAGACCTCTCCACAGCAAGGACCAGATCTCTTCCCCAGGGTTCTCCTGTAACTATTGGAAGGCTGTGCCAGCATCAACAACCTCTGCTGGTGTTTTCTCTCTGGACAACAGAGACTCTTTTACAAGATATTAAGGTAACAGAATTCACACCTTGTGTACAATAAATGTACCCAACTTCAATGCCTCCTGAGGGATTGAAGGTCACCTACTCCAACAGGAGGAGAGGTGAACTGTCCCCAGTCCCCCGTCCTAACTGACCCACCTTGTCGATGAAGGAGGCAAACTTGTTGTTTAAAGCCTTGATCTGCTCCCGCTCCTGCGCGCGCACCTTCTGGATCTCCGGATCCAGCTCCACGTTGAGTGGGGCCAGGAGGCTCTCATTGACTGTAACCTGGTGGATGCCTCCAGGTGGGCACACAGCCGGGCACACAGGTCCCAGGGCCACACTGCCAAAGATGCTGCCAGCAAAGCCACTGGCCCGGTTCCTGCCAAATCCAAAACCTCCGTTCTTGCCGCTGCCACTGGCCATGTTGAGAGTGATGCTTCTGGCACCTCCCAGGCTGTAGAGACTCCGACTACCAAAGCTCCCAGTGAGCCCTTTGCCTCCTGCCCGATAGGAGGATGAGCTGCCCCCAGACAAGACTGCAGAGCAACCGCTGAAGCCCCTGTTGCCAGCTCCAGACTTGCAGGTGAATTGGCGGCTCATGTTGCTGGTGGAGACGGAGTGTACAAGTACCGGAGGAATGCAAATCCCAGGAAGGTTGTACTGGCTGTGGTGAGGACCAGGTGCCTTTATATATGTGTGGCATTGGGCTTGCAGATGGGCAGTGGGGCGCTTAATTCGTGGGTTTGGCTTGCCTAGGAGCAAGAAGTCATTTTCTCTGTGCTGAGCCAGAGATCGGCCCTCCCCATCTCTGAAACAACATGAAACTGTCAAATTGCTGGGCTTGCAAACCTTGCTCAGGTAATTTGGGTCTTATCTAATTAACCCGCTGTTATAAGGTAATTTGCCCCAGGGGTATGTCACTGGCACCATACCATCTCTCAGATTCGTCTTTGTGGTTGACGTCCTTGTAGGGGTTCAGGGAGCAGAGATGACAGGGACATTTTGGAGAGAGTTGCCCACTAAATACAGCATTCAAGGACTCTACCATAGCTGTACCTTCTGTCCTAGACAGACTTCATCGAGCAGCCATTCTCCCCAGGCCTCCTGCAGACAAAGGCCTTAGAGAAGTGACTCTCTCTGCTGGGGCACTAGAGTGATGAGACTCTATCTTTAGCATTGATCAACCCAGGCCACAACAGCCATGTGATAGTGACAACCATGTGCTTATCACACTTTCTGGAGAGATAGATGTCCCCATTTCACCTCTCAAACATTCATAGTCAGGTTGTTAAGGGGCTGAAGGAGGGGACAAGCCTTTTGGCCACTGGAGAAAATGAAAAGCCAAGAGCATTGAGTTTGATGGGGAGCTAACTGGCAGTAAGCAGAGAGGACAGACAGGATGGACTTGGTTTGGGGAGTTCAAGTGGGTACCATAGGAGCTCTGTTTCATCATGCCCCACTCTCCTGCCATGTGAATTTGCTAGTAAGGGCAGGAATCAGCCCTCAGCCGTGAGCCCTAACTCCAGCTACTATGCCCAGGTCTGAGCATTTAGGAGTCAAGCCTGGCTCGGGCCATTCCTAGAAGTCCAGACTTCACACAGCTAAGGTCAGAGGGCTCTCAACTGGAGTACGACTGTGCACCACACCTGCCTCCCAGAGGCTCCATCTGTGGTGCTCTCTGTCCTAGGTCACTGGCTCCCATGACGGGCCCCAGTCCCATCCATTGATCACCCTGGTCAGCCCATGGCTGCCTCACCTCTGGTGGCCTCTTTCAAAGGTCCCTGCCAGGGTCCCATGGTGGGGTGGGGCTTTCAATTGAATAGGGTCGTGAAAGAAGAAAAATCTGGATGCAGGGAAGGCTGGAGCTCCATCTGGATACACTGGGCATGGAACCTACTCTCCCATTTTCCTTTCCATTCCCTCCTGCCATCTTGTCTTCCTTGCTGATATCAAAACAGCGTCATATCTCTTTTCTCCCTGTCCCACGTCCGTCTCACATCCATCTCTTACTCTCATGCTCCACCCAGTCTCCTATGGGTCTTCCTGGACCAGTGCAGCTGCCATCTGAGCTCTGCTCCCATCCCTCAATCCTGGGCATGCTCTTGGATGTGTGGAAGACAGTGACTACAGAAATGACTTCCTTAGTGCTCCTCTGAAGACCACATCATACATCATCTCAACTTCATTTTGTAAGGACAGCAGAGCGTCCCCAGGACTTTCCCAGAGGCCATCCAGTATGCTTCTCTCCCTTCCTCCCGCCTCTGTCCCCTTCAGTAGCCTGAATACCCACAGTACCTCTGTGTGATGCTGAAGTGATGGTTTTTTTTCATGCTCTCAGAATATAGCCCTGGCACAGCATTCCTGTCAATGGCTTTGCCAGCTATACATTCCCTGACATATATGACAGCACCCCGGCCCAGCCAGCATTGTATTTGTCCTCTGCTCCTACCCACTCTCTGTTCCTTACTTCTCCCTGCCTGCCCTTGGTCATCTCATCCACTGGTCTCATCTCCAATGCCCTCCAACATTGCCAAGCTATTCCCACACATCCCTGACCTCTTCTCTCACCACCTTGTGGCCCACATCACTCTGCTCCTCCAAAAAGTCGCTGAAACCCTGGTCTCTGGATTGGCCTGTCTTTTCTGCACTCTGGTCCTCTGTTCATAACTGCTGCATATGGGAAATGGTGGTTTCTGAGTATGGTGAGGGTTCCATAAGCTACTGATGCCTCCCTCTGTGAGCCTAGGATCAGCCCTCTCCAGCAGGCAGCCCCTTGCGGGAGACACAGCAAACAACAGAGATGGGATGTTGGACTTCCATCCACTGGAGTGGTACCAGATAGAAACCCAGACTCCAAGGACCCAATTTCTTCTCCACCACATTTGACCTTTCTGGTCTCCACTTCTCCCAGGGAGAATGGGACAATAGACATTAATGCAGGGGTAGCAAGGATTACACATGTTATTCTATATGAAGTGCTCCCTAAGGCTTGAAACATTCCTAATGTCCAATAACTGGTGTCAGTGACTAAAGAGCCAGAGGCTCAGCCATCTCCCCTCCTTCCTCTCCAGTGTGGCCTCCAAATCAGCACATTCCGGTATAGTGGCATCAGATGCTGAGGACAGGGAAGGGGTGGTGACCCTACACACCCAGGCTCTCCCAGACCTCTGCTGATCCCAGAAAAGTGACCATTACAAATAATAGCCACAGTCAATCAAGTGGCTGCCAAGTATAAAACTCAGTAGGAAGCACTTTACAGACTTGATGCCACATCTATTGGAGTTGATTAATTTATCAAATGTTTGTTGGACATATAACCAACTTCTGATGGGAATGGTCCAAAGCGCCCTGCCTCCAAAGAGCTTATTCTTGGTGTCTTTGCCCTACAAAGGCAAGTGTCCCTGAGAGAAACAGCTCACTAGGTTATTATCAAGTCATTTACACGGTAGCCTGAATGAGTTAATCAGATACTGGACATGAGGAATGAAACACCCTGTGTTGATGAGAATGATAATAGAGAAGGAAGCAAGAGTTCTGGACCACCCACAGGAAGGGTGGACCCAGATGGGGTACCAGGATGCTCACATTGTGCTAGAGGGTAAAGGGAGGGAGTAAAGAAAACCAGAATGGAGCCCCAGTTCACCAAGGGTACAAAGGCTCTGCCCCTGCTTTAACTGAGATCTGGAAAGAATTGGGGGCAGGAGAAGACAGACCCCTGCTTCAGGGATCCCAAAGCCTAATGGTGAAGACCTTACTACACACTTGTCCCCAAGCAGGTGGCTCTCTTACAGAACTGACTTTTGAGTGGTGCTCAGCCAGCCTTCAGTGTCTTATGGCCACAGGATTGCTCACCTGTAAAATGGGAAGACCATGAGGTCATAGAATAAAACCCTGAAGATACCAGGGAGATTTGGCTTGGGCATTCAAGGGACAGGCAGGTGGCCTAGCCAATCAGCTTTATCTATGTATTATATTGGTTTATAGTTTGCTCTTTTATTGTGTTAATGAGTAAACTTTAGTTTTCTCTGCATCTGTGCTTCCATGTGTGCAGTGACATTTGTGTCCCATGGCTTTGATTGGTGCATCTGCTGACCTTTCCAGAGGTCTTGGGTCAGCAACTTCTTAAAAGAAAGTCTCTGAAGGAGACTTGAGTCCCCCAGCTGCAGCTTCAGGGTTGGAGAAGGAAATAAACAAAGAGGAGAGGGTTGGGAACTCAACACACACAGGCTGCCTGCAGGAGAGGCTTAGATTCCCATCTTTCAATGGAAGAACAGTTGAACTGACCCCTAAGAAGTAGGGGAAGCATCCCAGGATGCTGAGGGGCAGGTCTTTTGTGAGGGAAAGGCCCACTAGGCTGAAGTGACCATGAGTAGAGGGTGACTTTGGGTACAGAAACTCCAGATCTTAGGCTGTGAGTATGTCAAGGAGTCACCGAAGGCTGTTGGGCCTTGGAGAGCCTAAACGGCACATGTCTGAGGAGGCAGAATGTAGCCCTGTGTGGGTAAGGTTGGGGATAGGAGAGGCTAGAGGCACAGGGAAAGGGGCAGGTAGCTCTCTGAGCAAAGCAATTATCTCCAAAATTAGAGAAAATGAGCTGGGCTATTTGGATGACATCAGCTGGGGTCCTCCCAGCCCTCCTTAGCAGAGGGACCAGGTCATGAGAGTGTTGTCTGTGAATCCCTTTGAGGTCTCTTTGTACTCTTGCATGGGCTCAGGGAGGTAATTCCTGGCCTGAGCCAGATGGAGTGACTTCAGACCCCAGGGTGTGGCCCTAATCAGACCACTTGAGGGGCAGGAGGGGTGCTCAACAAGTTTGTTACTTAAAAGGCCACAGGTGAGCTCACCCCCAAGAACTGGGGTATAAAGGACAGAGGAATGTAGTCTTGGTGGAGAGATACAGCCCTGTCCCCCGCCACCTCCATCAGCTCTCTGGCCGGGACACTTCCTTTGAACATGGTTGACCATCTCCTTTGCCCAACTCCACGCCTTTGGCATAGTGTGTGAACTTGGGACTCTGAGGACCCCATGTCATAGTCTCACCTGGACCACTCATCACCTGTGTAACAGTGAGTAGGGTTTGTACCTTCCTATGCTCCTGTTTCTACATCCCTAGGGAGGGAGACACCAACATCTGGTGCACCTATTCCCCGAGGTGGATGGAAGATACCTTGTAAATAATAATAAAGACGATCATGACTGCAGTAGCTAACACTTAGTCAGGGTTCATTCTGCCAGCCACAGTTTTAAGCACCTCACATACATTAATTCATTTAACCCTCACAACAGCCCTGAAGGCTGGCACTATTATTATCCCCACTTTGTAAATGATGTATTAATGCTCAAGGAAGTTAGGCAATTTCCTTGAGGTTGCATGGCAGGTGAGTAGCTGTACCATGGCTCAGCTCCCGGCTCCCAGCAGAGTGGGTGCAGCCTGTAACCTGGGCCTCTCACAGCCTGGCTTTCTGCAACATAGATGCCTGGAGCAGATACTTGCCCTCCAGGTGTCTCCCACAGCCTCTGGTTTCTGCTCTCTTCTGTAGGTCTGGCTGCTAAACCATAGTGGTGAACACTGAACTATCCAGATCCTGTCCCTTCCACCCCTGAGTGCTCCTGTCTCTAATTCCAATAATCTCATTTTGTGTATTTCCTGTGTATTCTTGCTCGATAATATCCCTGGGAGAGGAGGTAGTGACTCCAGCTGGTAACAGGATGAGTTAATCATTGCCTCCATCCAGCATCCCTGAGACTATGACAGCAGAGGGCCTGAGAGGATGTCCCTTCCCAAATGACTCACTCAGCATTTAGCAAGCAGCCTCTCCTTCCAGGCATCCACCACATATGGGGAAGACACAGCTTGCCTTGGAGGACTTCTCGGTCCAGTAAGCATTCACCTTCTCTGCTGAGTCTGAACAGAGAGAAGTTTCTGGTGGTGGTGGTATTTTGTGCTCACGTTAGCTGGTTGACATAGGTGTTGAGAACTTCAGCAAGACTGGAGTACCTGCTCTAAAGGGCTAGGAAGGTACCTCGGTGGACAAAGTGCTTGCCACACAGTTGTGGACAGCTGAGTTCAGATTCAGAGCACTGGCATGAAAAGCCAGACTGGTGGGGTGTGCCTGCTATCCTAGCACTGGGAAGCAGACATAGGAGGATCTGAGGGCCCTCCTGGCCAGTCAGTACCGCTAAATCCAACTGATAGACTTCAAGTTAAAGGAGAGGCCCTGTCTCAATAAATAAATAGATAAAATATAAAATAAATAGATAAATAAGCAGATAGATAGATAGATAGATAGATAGATAGATAGATAGATAGATAGATAGATAGATAAAAATAAGGTAGAGAACAGTAGAGAAAGATATCAGAAGTTGGACTATGGCCTCCACACACATATGCATGCCTACCTACACACACAAAACTTACAGAAACACACATGAATATGTACATAGGCACACACATAACAAATCCTGATCCAAGCTCCAGGGCCACAGTTCTGGCCGATGAAAGAAATGTTGAAGTTTGTGAGTTGCCATAACTTCAGCTCATCAAGGGCAAACACAGACGCTGGGCTACCAACTGTCCTCCATGGCCACAGCATGAGACACAGGTAGCCAGTTAAATAAGCAGGAAATCCAGTGAGAGATCCTAAGGATGCCTCATTTGGTGGTAGCCAGAGTCCCAGATAGTCATATCCTAGCCATTAAAGACTAGCTCGAACTTCCCTAGGTCAGTTGAATAAAGGCTATGTTTGTCCCTGTGTCCTACTGGCCCTAGACCTAGACAATTTCCCTGTCTATTGCAGATTGCCACTGATGGTGAGGAACTGGGACACAGTTGCTCTCTCCTTTTTACTAATACCTCCACATTCAATATGTACTTTTATTGAAATGAAAATGATAGACCATAAATTTAACCATTTTGGTGAACAATTGCATTCCTGCGTTCCCAGTGGTATAGGCAACCACCTCTTTCTAGTTTCAAAGCATTTCTTCACCCCAAAGAAAGCCCTCCATCCATTGCCAGCAGCCCAATATTTCCACTGTTTCTCTCTATTTGAATTTCCTAATCTGGACACTTCTATGAATGGATCATGCAATGGGGCAATCTCTTTCTCTTTTATTAGCATGATTTTATTCACCCCTCCTCCAGGAATCACTCCCATTGTAACAGCATTTCTTTTTATGAATTAGAGGAAAAATACTCATTGTAAGTATATACCATACCTCAGATTTTGTCATCCATTCATTGATGAAGTTTGGGCTGTGTTGTCTAGTACTGCTCTGAGCATGTACATCACATATGCTGTTGAAATATCTGATTTCAATTCCTTTGCTGGTATCTCTAGGAGCAGACTTACTGGCACATGGAAATCCTTGTATCTATTTATGTGTGTGTGTGTGTGTGTGTGTGTGTGTGTGTGTGTGTGTGTGTGTGTGTGATTTCTCTGTGTCTATGTTATTGTACCACATGAATGCCTGGTGCCTACTGAGGTCAGAAGAGAGAATGGGAGCCCTTAGAACTGAAGGACAGATGGTTGTGAGCCACCGTATGGGGGCTGGGAATGGAACTCGGGTCCTCTGCAAGAGTCACGTGTACTCTTAACCACTGAGTCAACGCTCCAGCCTAATTATTAAGGACCATACAGGGATTTTAACCTCTCTCCCTGGCTTAGTGGCAGTGCTTGGGAGGCAGATCTCTAAGATCTTGAGGCCAGCCTGGTCAACATAGTGAGTTCTAGACTAGGCTGAGCTACATAGTGAGAGCCTGTCTCAAGACAAAACAAAAACACAAAAGGTTCCAACTTCTGGACATCCTCACCAGTATCCGTTAGTTCCTGTTTTTTAATATTATAATCGTCTTAGAAGGTATAAATTATGGATTTGCTTCCCACTTTCTATTGTCTATGTTGAGCCATTTGTATACTTTCTAGATGAAAATTCATTAAAATCCTTTGCATATTTCTTTTTTAAAAACAAACTTGATTATTTTGTATGTATGCCTGATGCTTGTGTGTGTATATATGTATGTGCATGCATGTGTATGTGTGCGTGCACATGAATACAGATGCCTGAAGAGGACAGAGGTGTTGGATCCTCTGGGGGTGGAATTATAGGTAGTGGTGAACCATCTAATGTGGGTGCTGGAAATCAAGTTTGGGTCCTCTGGAAGAGCAATCTTAACTGCTGAGCCAAGTCTTCAGCCCCTTTGCAATTTCTTAGCTGGATGCCCTTGTCTGTTGAGTTGTAAGAGTTCCTTTCATACACTGACTACTAGAACCTACTAGAAAAATGATTTGTAAATATTTTTTGTCCTCCTGCAGGTTGTCTTCTGACTTAATTTCTTACCTCCCCTGCATACTTTTGTTGCTTGAGGCAGGAGTCTTACTGTGAACCCCATGGTGGCCTTGAATTCAGCTTCTCAAATGCAGAGGCAGCAGCACCCACCACTATAGTATGCCTCGCTCTTCCCACTTTATTTTTCCTTTTTTTCATCTTTTGTTCAATACGTGGTCTCTCTGTATAGCACTGACTGTTCTGAACCTCACTCTATAGACCAGGCTGGCCTTGAACTCATGGAGTGCCTACCTTTGCTTTCCAAGTACTGGAATTAAAGGTGTGTGTCACCACCACCCAGTTGCCACTTTCTTACAAACTTACCCTTGTGTTTTCTTCTAGGAGTTTTATAGTTTTAACCATTGCATTTATGTGCTGCATGCATTTGATTCATTTTTGCAGATGATGTGAGAGGCACAAGCGCATGGCTCTGAGTGTTTCTGTCTCTCCCTGAAGCCTGAAGTGGCCTCCTGTGCAGTTCCCTGGGTGGCCTCCAGTTGCCCAACAGGGCTGTGCACACATACATGTGGGTCACATTGTATTTAGACAGTAGAAGATTTGGACAGATTGACAGACAGACAGATGTGCACCCCTGACATTGCTCCAAGATAGTTTATTGCACATTCAGCAGAAATTTAGAGTCTTTAGGCCATGCAAAGGAGGGACAAGATGGTGTCATCCTTCACACAGCAAGTTGGATAGGACCACCCAGAGACAAGATTAAGTCACCTGCTGGACTCAGCTTACAGCAATAGCATCCTAGAGTCATAAAGTCCTGGAGGTCACAGATCCAGAGAGAGGTCTAAGAACCAAACATAGCCATGGTCTTCATAAAGGCCAACATGATCAGCTGCTTTATCGAGGACCTTGACATTCCTTCTCTAAAAGTGCCAATGATTGTGACATACCAGCAAAACATCATGAACCCTGGCTGTCTGCCAGGCTTGAGCTGACTCGTAGGTGTGTGATGTGGGCTAGCTCAATCACTCATATGATGTGGGCTAGTTCAGTCACTCTGAGAGCTTCCCTGTGTGTACCAAAGATGTGGCTTGTGCCTTCTCTGCAGGGTTAGGTGAGAACTAGAGGCAACACATACCAGGCTCCTGACAACCTGGCACACCATAGGTACTTGACAGGTGGAAGAAACTAATGTTGATAATAAAGGTGGTGACCCCATTGTACAACATCACCAAGCCTCTGAATTTGCTTTCCTCATATGCCAAAATAGAGCTGAAGTCACTGTGTCCCAGAGAATCATTCTGAGGATTATGATTTAGAGTATATAAATGTACTCAGGACTTTGAGGTCTGGGACTCTGAACTATTACATGAGCCAACAGAGCTTTTTCAACTTGTGTTTGGTTGTTTTGGACAATAAACTGGGTTGTGGCTGTCCTGCAGTTTTGTCATTGAATTTCCCCTAACTTTAAGTACTGTAGATAAGGCTAAAATGAGTTAAAAATCTCTTCCATGTGACTCTATGAATAGGAGCTTATCGGGGGAATCTCCGAACATGTACATTTTTCCCCTGAACAATCCCGTCACTCTTCAATGGCCTGGCCAGTGGGACAGAGAAAGACTGGCAAAGTCCCACCCATTCTGAGGGCAAAAATGTGGACAATTGAGAATATGACCTCAATGCCCCTCCTTCCTCACCACCTCTTTCTCTCCCCTCTCTCTGGTTGATCATAGTCTCCTTAGCTCAAGAAGACAGTGATAGCTTGAGCTTCCAAAGCCTCCTGCAGACTGAAGGCAAGAAAAGTCAGAAGCCCACATGGGGCCTACTGACATGGGAAGACTGTCTGCGTCACTCAGAACTTAAAGTGGATAGTGGATAGTCAAGTGTAGTAGAGAGTCCTAAAACTCAGGGACGGAGGCTTCAAGGGTGATGGGCATCTCCAGGCAGCAGCAAAGACATTCTTTCTCCAGACACTGAGGTGAGCGGGGCAGTAGATTTATCAAGTGGTCTTCTTGGCCAGGCTACCAACAGCAGTGCTCTTGTTCTGGGAGTCCCTGAGATCTGTTGCTCTTGCTACTCTGGTCTTGGTCTGGCTGTTTCGAGGGGTGCTGGGACTGCCAGTTGCATTGCCAACCCCAAAGTCAGAGGTCATGGAGCTTGGCTGATAACCGTAAGAACCATAGCTGCTGCTGATGACAGCTGAGGAAGAAAGGCCGAGAGTAGGTGTCTGTCAGCAAGTGACCACAACTATGATAACTGCCATCTCTGAAGGTGTTCTGCTTATCCCGGGACAATGTGAAGTCCACGTGCATAGCCAATGCAGTGAGTGAGACCTTGCCATGTGCCTAACCCTGTGTGGGGGCACCATAGAGAACAGATACAGGGCCTGCCTTCTGGGATATCCTGGGGAAGTGACCATTCCCAAGCCTTTCTCCAGACTACTGTCCCAGGAGATGGACAACAAGGGAGATGGGTGTTAATTCAATCACTTTTTCAGGGGACAGAAGGTGGCAAATGTTTCTCTGATGCCAGAGAACATTCACAGGAGGGTAACAGAAACTTCTAGGTGAGGTACCATGGCAATTGGAGGTGCATCAAAGTATCCCATAGCCCCTGCTTCCTCAGCCCATCCCTTCTCTAGGATACTCACAGATGCTCACAGAGGATGGGTTCTCACCAGACATCCTGAAATACAGAAAGTTAAAAGATAAGACCACTCAGGAGGCTGAGGTGGGAGGATCACCATGGTTTTGAGGCCAGCCTGAGCTGCAGAGAAAGACGCTGTTTCAAACAAACAAACCAACGAAATAAAACCTCAGGGATTCAGATGAGCCTTGGTGGGCTCCTGATTTCCTGTGGTTATTTAATTCATTCTTTTAGCAATCTATGAAGATTCTAACCTCCATTCTACAGACGGGGAAATAGAGGCGCAGCATGATCTTCTGGGGCCATATTGCTAGCGTGGGGCAATGGGACAATCTGTCTGTCCCCACAGCTCCATTCGTATCACCACAAAGCCCCCTGTACATGTAGCTGGCCTCTGACATCCCCCTGCAGGAAGCACAGCTGAGTTCACCTGGAAAACCACAGCTGCCCTCTCTCATGGTGTTGCTAACAGTTTTCCTCATCTTCCTCTCTCAAATGTCCCCTCGGCCAGAGAAACCATAGCTTTGCTCCCGTGGCACCACAGCCTTGTCCTCCAGCATCCCCACCTGCACTCCTCGCCCTCCAGCAGCTTGCGGTAGGTGGCGATCTCAATGTCCAGGGCTAGCTTGACACTCATCAGCTCCTGGTGTTCACGCATCATCCGGGCCAGCTCCTCCTTGGCCTGCTGCAGGGCGCCCTCCAGCTCATCCAGCTTGGCCTGGGCATCCTTGAGGGCACAGTCTCCTCGTTGCTCGGCATCAACAATGGCTGTCTCCAGGTTGGAACACTGGGGAATAAAGAACAGAGAGATGGGCAGAACATAAAATACTGTGATTGTTAATATCATGAACCTGATAGAGTCACCCAGGAGACAAGGCTCTCGTTGTGCCTATGAGAGATCATGATTAGATTGGGTCAAGTAGGAAGGCCCACCCTAAACATGAACGGTACCATTGGGTCCTGGATGACCTAAGAAAGCTAACTGAGCTCAGGGATTTACCATTCTTTGCCTCTTAACCACAGATGCAGCTTGACAGCCTGACACCATGCTGGATCATGCTCTCCCACAGCAGCCAAAGCAAGCCCTTTCTCCCTTACATTGGGAGAAATAACTAAGAGAGTGGTAAGGTAGCACAGTAGCTTTGTTATACAGAAGGGACCCAAAGTACAGAAAGGAGTAGCCAGAGCCAGAATCTGCACTTTCCATTGCAGATGAATGTTTAAAGATATTGACTGGGAGATGGCTAAGAAGGTAAAATCGATATTGTCCAAACATGAGGACCTGAGTCAATCCCTAGAACACACATAAAAAGCTAGGTTTGGCCATGTACCTACTTATAACCCAAGAGCTGTGGTTAGGTGTAGAGAAGGGAGAATCACTGGGGCTTACTGACAGCCAGTTTAGCTACACTCACACACATGCTCTCACACACATGCTCACACACACACACACACACACACACACACACACACATCATTTAGGATCTGCTGTCTTCAGGTCAGACCAGTGCAAAGGGAAGGGCCCTGGACACAGGTGGGAGAATCCAGGACTGCATTTGCTGCCGCACCCCTCCTCCAGGGCCATGCCCCACCATGAGGACAGGAATGCAGGGTGGCAACAGAGGATCCTGTCTCACCCCATGCTCCCAGCCACTTGAGAGAAGGAGGCCTAAGGCCTGCTCTCAGAGGGCCACACACAAAAAAGACATCGGACAGGTGTGTTGGACACACACAAACAAACAAAAACAAAAACAAAACTTAAGGCAAGGGGGGAGGACACACTACACAAGTCACTATTCCTTTTCAGCCCAGCTGTCCTATCTGCATAATGGGTAAGCCACAGACAGATGGCGTCCTCCCCATTCCGATGCAGGATGAGAAAGAGGGCTATGGTAGGTTCTAGGACTCTCAAGCCTGGGAGGGAGACCTGCTTCTTCCTCAAGGGCAGCCCTGTGTCTCCATCACACGGGGGCAGCTGTGCCTCTCATTCTTCGCCTGGTCGCTGCCCACCTGCTTCTTCACGTTAGCCACATCACAGCGTATCCTCTGGACCAGCCGGCTCAGCTCCAGCATCTCATTCCTGCTGTGCTTCAGGTTGTCCCCATGGCAGCCAGCCGCCAGCTGCAGCTCCTGAATCTAAAGTGCAGGAGAGAGGAGGATGGGGACGAGACGCAGGAAATGACCAGTCCTGGTAGAGCACACCTACCCCAGGGAGCTTGAGGTGACCCTGAAGTGGAGGTGGTGAAGCCAGTGCCCGGGTGCCCTTCCAGCTCTGACCAAGAAACCCCCTCATCCAGTCCTTCAGGCAGGACCTGCGTGTGACCCAGCTTGCCCCTGTCCTGAGTCCTTTCCCAGAGTAGACAAGGAAGGTACAGTTCCCGTTCATTAAGTCCTCTCCAGTGTGAGAGTTCTGACTCCTCTTTGTCATCCTGTATCTAGAGAGGCATCTCCTAAAGGCCCAGCCTGGCTCTTCTCCTCTCCGGCATTGAAGATGCAGCCTGCCGGCTCTTTCTAGGCTCACCCTCTTCTGCAGAACTTTCCCAGGCACAGGTCAGAGGGGAAGGAAGGCTGGGGACACACATGTCTTTAGATGGGGTTGTAGGTGGGATTGTGGTAGAATGGGGGACTAGTGGCTTTCCTCTACCTATGCCCAGCCCTTCAGGAAGGAGGAAGTGGAATGCCTGTGGACAGGGACAAGGGACAGGAGCGGGCAGTGAGATTCAGTTACACCTGCCATCCTTGCTTGGTGGTGCTATTGTTGAAGTTGGGAGTGGCCCCCAAAAGCCCATGTGTTAATATCTTGGTCCTCAGCTTGGTACTATCGAGATATAAGTACTAGTAAGAAGTTCATGTCACTGGGGACATGCTCTTGAAGGGAATATTAGGAACTGAAGCACCCGGCCACTCTCTCCTACTGTCTCTGCTTCCTGGACGCTGTGAAGTGAGCTGAGCTCCGCCATGATGTCCTGTGTGTCCCCGGACCAAGCATCCACGGACTGAAACCTCTGCAGCCGTGAACCAAAACAAACCTTTGCTGGGCGTAGTTTGATTTTTCTCTCCATTTTGTTACAGAAATGGAAAGTTGACACATTAATTACCCTGAGGGTCTTGCTGCATCAACTGATCTCTTCATCAGATGCTCTTAGAATTCCAGCTGGCTCTTGAGGGCCTTCTAACGCCCTCATGCATAACAGAAAGAAGCTCAGGGCTTCCTCGTCTCTCCCCGCTGACCCCAGCTCTCCCACTACTACTCTGTTCTAATACCTGTGTCCTCCCTCCCTGGGCCACTGCACCGTCATCCCCATAAATCCATCGGCTTTACAACAGCAGTGTCTCAGTCCGTGTCTCCTCCAGGACCAGACGTCTCTCCCTGTTGGATTTGTCCATCCATACTAGTTTGATAGCACTGCCAAGAATTCCTTTCGGACAGAATGCTATTGGTCCCAACTCACACTCAGCATTTCTATGATGTTGGTGGCGGGACCTTCCAGGAAGGAAAGAGGCTCCCCCTGCCTGCCCCACTGGTGCTCACCTTTCTCTGGTACAGTGCCTCAGCTTCAGCCTTGCTCTTTAGGGCAATGTCCTCATAGTGGGCACGGACCTCAGCAATGATGCTGTCAAGGTCCAGATCCCGGTTGTTGTCCATGGACAGGATGACAGAGGTGTCACTGACATGAGTCTGGAGCTGAGCCATCTCCTGAATTGGAGATAGAAGCAGAGTCAGGGCCCCCAGATCATCACCTCTTCTCCATCAGGTTTCTGGGTCGGTGGCCTCTGCCAGAGTTGGTCACGTTAATCTCTGGAAGCACCTTTATCTGAAGTGGCCCTGAGTCCCTCCCAGTGATGTCCCTTTGGGAAGGTCAGGGGCTCTCAGCTGAAGAGAGGCAGAAGTGTGTGGGATAAAAGCGCCCTCACCACATCATACAGACACTTGAGAAACTTGATGTCTTTCTCCAAAGAGTCCACTTTGGCTTGGAGTTCCACCTTGACCGTGTAGGCTGAATCTGCATCCTGCCAAGAGGCCCCATAAGGTCATCAATACGTCCCTCATCACACTAGTCTCCCTGTCTGCTGCTGCCTGACCCTGTAGCCATTTGACTTTCAGCATGCTGATGCAGTCACTCAACATCAATTTTTCACAGACTGACCGAACCTTTGGGAACAGAGGGAGGGAGCAGGACCAGTCTTCCTTTGTTTCACCTAAAGAACACGCAGCCCAGAGAGGCGCTCACATTCCCTCAAGCCACACAGGAAGCTGCACTGAGCCATGTTCTCCTAGTGTCCCCACAATGACTCCCTCCTGTCTTTTCCTATCCAGTTCCTGACTATGTGTCCTTCCTCTCCAACTTGCTGGAAGTCATAACTCTGGTCCCACTTAAATTCAGCCCCTAGACCCCACTCCAGGTGTCCCGGATGAAGTCCTCAGCAGAGTCGCTTAGGGTACAAGTGGGAGAGAGACTGAAGCCCATGGTTGCTTCTAAGTTCTCCTTTTTTGTTTGTCTGTTTGTTTTTTGAGATAGGGTTTCTCTGTGTAGCCCTAGCTGTCCTGGAATTCACTCTGTAGACCAGGCTGGCCTTGAACTCACAGAGATCCACCTACTTCTGCCTCCCATATTCTGGGATTAAAGTGTACACCACCACCACCTAACCTGGGCTTACCTTCTTAAGCAACACGAACTCGTTTTCTGCTGCTGTGCGTCGGGTGATCTCCACCTCATACCTGTGGGAGAGGAGACAAGATGGCAGAGGTTCGCCTGTCTGTCAAGTCACCTCTTTCCACTACAGGGCAAGCCCTGTGGATCCTGGGATCTCTGGGCATTATGATTTTGAGCTTAACCCTGCTTCTGACCTCAGCTCTCTGGCTCTTAGTTGGTAGCGTGGAATGAGTCGATGCCCATCACTGTGGAGCTACCAGCTCCTGTGCTTTCCCAGCCAGAAAGGCCAGCATCCCCTCAAACCATGATCCCAAACAAACCTCTCCTTCCTTAAGCTGCCCTGGCAGGTGCTGGTGACAACGACAGGAAAAGTAACCTATGCCAGAAGTGACTGCCAAGAGGACAGTGGTGTGAGAAGTCATTGGATTTCTTGCAGGAAAATACCCAATGCCTACACAGAATCCTTAACCAGCAACCGAAGCATCCAGAGGGCAGCGAACCCATAGCTGGAGAAGATCACATGAGCTCCTGACCCTGCAGCTTTGGTACATGAACCTTTAGTGGCCTACTCACCTTTTCTTGTAGTCCTCCACCACGTCCCTCATGTTCCTCAGCTCTGAGTCCAGCCTCACCCTGGCCCCAGACAACGTCTCTAGCTGTTTTCGAAGGCCACGGATGTGGGCTTCAAAAATGGGCTCCAGGTTCCTCTTGCAGTTGTTCAGGTCCAGCTGCTGCAGCAGCTCCCACTTGGTCTCCAGCACCTGGTTCTGCTGCTCCAGGAAGCGCACCTGGAACCCAAACCCACAGCCACCTGGAACCATACAGATATTATCATGCCCCATGGATGTACTCCATTGGCTTCCCAAGAGAAAGGGAGTTTTGTAAAACCCTGTGGGTTAGGGTTGAGCCCTAACTATCTACCAGACGTCTTTCCTAGAAGACACCTTGAATAAGTGCATCCCCGGCCTTGGGGACCTCTAGTCACTGAGCGCTTGGACCCAGAGACAGCATTCTAACTTCTTCTGTAGCCTTACCCCGGGCCCAGGAGACATCCCCTTAGGTCTAAATGTGCCTCCCTGTCCTGTGAACCCTGCCTTCTGATTGTTCTCAGGTCTCTCGGTTGTTCACATTCTTAAAAAACAAAATGGGAACACCCTCCACAACTTGACCTTGAGGAAATCACCACTTTTCTCAAAATAAAGCTACCTCTATCCAGTTCCCCACCTTCTCTATAAGATTCCCAAATGAAGCAATCTTCATTTATCCCCCATTCTGGGCACCTTGTAAATCTATTCCATTCCCCTTGAGACGAGCGACCACATGTCCAGGCCCCATCACATCCATCCATTGCCCAGGAAACAGAATTGCTCCTGCTATGGCATCGTTATGTCTTCCTATAAGACCCACCTTGTCGATGAAGGAGGCGAACTTGTCATTCAGAGCCTTGATCTGCTCCCGCTCCTGCGCACGCACCTTCTGGATCTCAGGGTCCAGCTCCACATTGAGTGGGGCCAGCAGACTCTTGTTGACAGTAACATGGTGGATGCCCCCAGGCAGACACATAGATGGACAAGTGGGCCCCAGGGCCACACTGCCAAACATGCTTCTGGCAGAGCCGCTGGTTCGAGTCCCTCCATACCCAGAGCCATGCCCAAAGCTCTGCCCTGTGGCCCTAGCACCGCCACTTGCCACATCGAAGGAAATATGCCGATTCCCTCCAGGACCGCAAAGGCTCCTGCTGCTGAAGCCAGCCCCAACCCTGTGACCAGTTGCCTGGCGAGAAGCCATGCTACCCAGGGGTCTCCTTGGCACCACTGCAGAAAGCACACTGAAGTTGCCCTTGTCACCACCAGACCTGAAGTTGAGTTGTCGACTCATGTTGGAGCAGACGGTGTGATGGAACAGTACACGACACTGAGGCACAAGAAGGCGGCCTCCTTTTATCCCTACGGAGGCCAGGACACTGGAAAGGGGCGTCTCTCCACCACCTTCTTCCCCTGAGGAAGGGCTGGGGCAATTTGCAGAGCACAGATCTCCAAGCCTTTCAGTAACAAAGCCCTTTGATAGAAATGGAATATGCTGCCCTTGCACACTGCAGTGGTCTAATTTGGAGTTTATCTGTTCCCTAATTAGGGACCTGCAGAGTTATCCCCCTCAGCGATCTCTTAGCTTTACTTTTCCAGTGAGGCCGCTTTCCTGCTTATCTACTAAGGCGCAGGATAAATGCCTGTCTTCATCTGAGGGGGATCCTCTGAACCCTCCAGGCTTCTCCTGCCTCCTGCCATCTGATTCTCTTGAGGAACTGGGTACTGAGAAAGGAGAGGACACTGTCCTCCTCACTGATCTAGCTAGATCAAGAAAGAAGGTCCATGGAGTCACCATTCGGGTTATGCTAAGGACCACAGCTGTCCAGCACAAGACAGGCCCCAAGACAGGGTAGAAATGAGAGCCAGCATCAGTCTGACCCCTGACTGTACGAGCACAATGTGGGCTGTCTGTGTTGGGCAGGGAGTGCAAAAAGGTGTGCTTTCAAGACTGAGAAGCCCCTCAGGCAGCCGCCGTCTCCTCTACTGGAATTGTCTCTCCTGGGGTAAGATGTCCATCCTGAGAGCTCAAGCAGGAGCTGGGAAGTAGCTGACCTCTAGCTGTATAGACCATATCCTGAATACAATTAGTCAGAGGTATGAATCCCTAGGTTTCACTCCTGGCCTCCCAGGGCTCTGTTCGGTCAATTCTCTGATCACTTCCAGGATTGCTTAACTTTAGGACAGAGAACATCAGCTCTTGAGAACCCAGGAGTCCTGCTGGAGTTTTAAAGGATCTCAGAGCAGGGTGTCTGGCAGCCACCCTAGCTCAGGGCACTGTCCACTACCTGTGAGCTAGTGCACTGGGGAGGTTTGACAAGCTCTGATTAGGCAGAGAGTGGTAGAATAGCCTCCTCTGAGGAGAGGACCTTGGAGAAGGGGGAGGGACAGCCCTGGGGAAGAGGAAAGAGAAGCAGAGGGGCAGAAGCCACCTCAGACGAGCACACACAGGAATGGTTGTCACATCAGCCCCAAAGCAGGGACAAGTGTTCCCTCTCAGAAGCCCTGCATCCCAGAGTTCCTAGCAGAGCTGGCCTGGAGGCTCGGGGAATCTAACAGAAGGGACGGCTGTACCTGAGGTTTTCTAAGCCAGATTGCAAGGGTAGCAGAGTCAAGCTTTGCTTCCTTTTCTGATGTTGAAATGTCAATACACCATATAAGGTCCTTTACCAGTAGTGACCACTATATGTCCCTGGACTAGAAAGCAGGATCTGTGCCAAGAGGCCCAGGCAGAAGCCCTGGAATAACTGGAGAGCTTTGCAAGCGGTAAACCAAGATGCACAGAGGAGTGGCTGATTCTGACTGGATTTTAGGGGCGTCTGGAAGACGCATGAGTGTAGCAGTGCCTACCATGAGAACGGGACTAGACAAGGGGAGTTGACAGATTACATACAGTAGCAGAAGCAATGGTGGCAACATTAAGGCCAATTGCTGTCGTGGTGGCGGTATAATAGGAAGAGTCAATGTGTGGCTCCCTTCATATGTGTGTGAGGCATTACGCCAAGTGCTACGCGGCATGCTTATTTTAATTGTTTTAAAGACATGGTCTCTCTATCTATGTAGCTGAGATAGATCAGGAACTCTAGATTTTTCTGTTTCACTTCCCCAAGTGCTAGAATTGCAGGCCTGTGCAGCCACACCCGATGAGGAAAATCTAATTAATCCGTGCATTACTGCTTGCATTTAAGGAAACAGAGGTTCGGGGACATTAGTCTTGCCCAGGATCACTCAGCTAGTAAGTCAGAGATGGTACTCAGGTTCAAGAGCATCTGCTTTCAAAGCCCATGCAGTACATGATCGAGATGATAGTTAGAGACAAAAACACAGATTCCTGTGTATGTGGCAGGCACTGCAGAGACCCCCATGAGACAAGTGTGGTATGAAGGGAAAGGGAAGCTGCAATGGATTCTGGGTATTCAAGATTAGACATTATTCTAGTGTTCAGAGAGAACGTCGGCCAAAATAGGGATGAGCACACAGAAGGAAAAGATTCACCTTCATATTAGAGGCTGTTTGTCAGTTTTAGAACCCACCATGCTTGCCTCTCATCTGTAGCCCCAAAGGGCAATAACCCTGATTCCAACTGAAATTCCTAGGATGGGTTTTACAAGTTCACTGCCTGGCAGAGTGTGAGCCCCAGTCTGATAGGAAAGCTAGACTTCCTACTGGAGCCCTCAAAATGGAGCCCTGGCAAAGCAGTACATGCTTGAGAAGACGGGTTGCTGATGAACATGCTGCAGAAGAGATGCATTTGTCAATGGCGTGCTCAGCCACAAATGTATATCACAGCCTTTCTCTGAGGCTCAGGGACCCTCATGGAGGAAGAGAGCAGGACGATTACAACAGTGAGAGGTCAGAGAGGACCAGAGCAAAACAATGCCTTCTGAATATGATGGGATGGCTACGTTCAAGAACCCACAGCAGCTGGGATTGCCTGCCCAAGATCAAGTCTTTCAACATTCTAGCTTTGGGTGGGAAGAGCCCAAACTCCTGACTAAGAGCTATGGACAGTTGGGTTTCTGGGGCCTGTCCAGAGGTATTCAGTTTTCTTCAAGGGCATGACTCCTGAATGGCTCCACGCCCACGTGTGTGTCGGTAGTCAATTGTTGTAAAAATGAAGTTGATTGTTATCAAAATAATGACATTAAGTTGGGGGATTAGGTTGTGAGGTTAGATTAGGGAGGAGTTAGAGTGAATGTTATCAAAGTACATTGCATAAAATTCTCGAAGAATTGATTTTTAAAAAGAAAGAAAGAAAACTGAAGAATGAGTGCGCCCACCCACACCCCTCAAAGCAGCAGGCTGTGGGGTTAGGAAGGGAATCTGGGGTCCTGACACCCTTCGTGTTCATTCCCAAGGAAGTCCTGAGCACCCCCCACCCCGTGTGCAGGCCACACCTGACTGGTCAACAAGGATGTGATGGTAAAGGGAGAGGTAGAAGAGACAGCAGTGGTATGATTCATCTCACTTGGGGCCATTGACTCCTTCTCTGTCATTGCCATTGTTATCGGTGTGTGTGTGTGTGTGTGTGTGTGTGTGTGTGTGTGTGTGTGTCTAGGACAGACACACTTTGTCTGAGTAGAGACAGAGGTGCCCTCCTGACTCCTAGGAGATGCAGTGCTGGAATTATCTTTGGCCTAAGGATCTCCTCTAGCCATACCCTGTGCCATGTTGGCTATCCTTCAGTTACTCACGGCTATCCACACCCCTCTGTAAGTTCATTGGAGCAGTAAGTATCTAAAGCCTGGAAGACTGATTTGGCTAATGGGTATGGAACTGAGAAACTACTGTGTGCACACTATATATTAGATTCAAGAGGAGCTATTCAAGCTGGAGGCTACAGAAGAGATATAAGTGGAATGTGTTCTGTGATAGTTGTTGTAGTTTATCTCCACCTGCCTGTGTCTGTCCCGGAGACCACATACACTCACACACACACACACACACACACACACACACACACACACACACACTAACAATGATTATATGATGATGACAAGCAAGATCTATTTGTCCCAGACAGGGAAGGAGCCAACAACCCAAAGTGAGAGTTCGTCAAGTCTAGCTTGGCAAACAAGTAGGTGTACTGGGGTTCCTATTGGAAATACAGGTAATTTGTACAACTGAAAAGTCCCCAGCACAGTCCTTTGCTTCCTCTTATGTAGTAGCAGCTGGAATACCAGGGGTAAGAAGACCAGATAATGATCTCATGAAGGTGTCAATGTATCTCAAGGGTCTTCTGTCATGGGTTTTGTGACCACCCTCTCCCTCTGAGAAAAAGTCAATAGTTCTGATTTCCTGAGGGTTCCCATGGGTCATCACAGCTGCTCTGCATCAGGATGGCGAAGGTCATGTCACTGGGAAGAAACAGTACACTATGTAGCTATTGTTAAAATTTGGGTTCTTTTAAATAATTACTTTGAAGTGTGCTTTTTGCATGTTACATATCTTTACTAGCAGAACAGAAGTTGGGGTTTCTGGTATGGATTGGAACCTAGAAGGCTGGATAGTTGGGCAGGTGCAGGGAGTAGTCTGTTCAAGTAGATCCTTTCTCCCTGTAGGCAGTGTGGAATCACACTAGGATCTCCAGGAGCAACCTCACAGAGCCTGTATTGTAAGTAGACTCCTCATTGCCCGAGAACTTCAGGAGACACAGGGACCCTAAAAAGTTCCAAAGAACTTTCCATCCATCGTATTATAATCTGTCACCATGTTGATACAGAATATTCTGGGAAAGCAAAAATCCAATCCGGAAAGCACATCACACCAGAGAAAAATAGAAAGGAGTACCAAATGGGACAGCATAACAGCCCAAATGGATGAAGCTGAGGTCATGTCTGTCTGCTTTGCAGGGGGTAATGAAGGTAATGTTTCCCTGACCCTTTGATCTACTGACTGCCCCTGCCCCTGAAATAGCCACCCTGGGATTCTGTAGACCAAGGTCATTTGTGGAGAGAGGAAGAAACTTGAAAGATTCTGAGATACCTGGAGCAATGTGAGGATGAACCAGCGGGAGAAGACCTGATGCTCAGTCTCTCGCTGTCCCTTACCAAATGAGCGAAATGCTGACACCCAGTCCCACTGCTGTCCTCAGCAGGAAGGACCACATTTCTCCCCACATCAGGGAGCGTCTTCAAGAGAAGGCATCCTCTCTCCCATTGCCTCCATGCTCCCTCCCCTAGCTCATCACCTTCCTGACATGAGCTTCTTTAGCTGCCGTAGGATTCAATCCCGTCTGCAAAGGAGTGAGTATCAGAGAGGCGCATGATCTGGGGCTCTCCAGCCAGGTGGACG